GACGCGTTTCAGTTACCTCGATTCTTAATTCTTCCTTTTTTAATAAAATTATTTATATGCCTGTTTGGGGAGGACGTAATAAATATTTTCAAATTATATATATTTAAAATTGTGAGAGTTGTTGACCATGTGATATGATCACAATGTCGTGAAGGAGATTTAAATCTACGCAATTAATAATATATATTAATTTAAATATTTAAAAATTTAAATATTTAATAATAGAATATTTATAAAATCTAAAGATATATTTGATTCCTGATGACACGTTGAAAATGTCACCCTAGATCTCAGATCCACGCTTATACAGTGGGGCGTATCATTTCCCCGATTCTGTTTGGATGTTTTCCAACAAAACCGCGCTAGGCTTTCCCGACTTTTGTCATCATCATCTGTCGCCGTTCGGACACAATACCAGTGAAACGACAAATATGTCAGATCGCGAGGAAACAAAGGGAAAAGCGCGCCGGGCGTCGAAACACCCCTTGGACTCAATCGATTAGAAGCGTCCATCTTCTCGCGGCAAGAACGAACTATTCGCGCCACCAGTTCGACCGATTCGATCACGTTTTTTTCTCCCGAATCGTTCATCGATCCATCTCTCAGATGGTCGACAACCAATGTCGGAATGACCATGGAAAAAGTTAAGAGAGAGTAAGAAATGTGTGTGTAAACGAATCTCGACGACTCTGCTTTTCTTCGGCGCAGCATCATCGCGGAACAGACGGTCGTCGACAAAAAGGGAGCGACTAAGGGGTAGGTGGATCTCGACCCTTAGATAGATAGGTAGGTGCGGTCAGTGTCACGAGGCCTGACAATGGCTGACCGCCGGTAGGAACATTCAAATGGTAATCGGCTCGTGCGTCTAACGTACACCGACGAGCCCTACCCAATCCCCCCCCCCTATTTCAAGGGGGTGCGAGAACGGGCGCAACCCCTCGGTATACAGTCGAACACATTCGCACCAGAATCAAGCCAAATATTGGCAATATCATCCCCCGGCATTGTCCCTTACCGCGACCTGCCTCCTGCCACCGTCATCGTCGACGTCGGTGGGAAACGATGTCCATTTGAATGCGCGATTCCATTACCGATGCCGGTATATCGGCCCGAGGATATTACCGGATTAGGATTTAAAGGGAAGCGGAATTTCGGGACGACCGCAGAAACTCGGTCATTCCTGCAAAATAAACCGCGATACTGCACAATGCAATTGTAAATATTTTTTGTTGACAAAAACAAAAATAAGAATAAGTTCACTTGAACTTTAGCGTCTTTATGTTTTTTGTCCGCCTATGGTCCTTTGCTTTTCTAAATAAAAAATATACAGTATATGTTAAATTTTTAAATGAATTCGAATTTATATCTTATATTTAAATAAATCTCTTATACTATGAATAAAATTATCTTACTGCTTTTATCACAATACAATGTGACTATAATCATAACATATACTCATAACATTGATAATTAACGTAAATAAATTCGTTAACACACACCCGGTGTTTCGAAAAATACATTATGCGGTAATTTCCGCGATAACATTTTGCTTAATTAGCGTCGTCATTTCGGTCGAAGTACACTTGATGCGCTTATGATAGTCGGCGATAATCCGGTTCAGGTCGTTGCGCCGATTATCTCTCGTAAAACGGGCGCTGCCGTGATTCGCCGCCGTTCGGATGGACGCGTCCGTTTGACGTTCACGAATAGATCTGTGCGATTCGCGATCGCTGTTGATTCAGGGTGTGCAACGTCGCACGTGCGCCAGTGTAGACGCACGCAAAGCTCCCGCAACCCGAACTTCAGCACGCGCCACGATTACGCGATTACGCGATTACGCGTGTCGTCGTGTA